GCCAGCGTCACGCTGCACGTGCTGCTGGTGGACGGCTTCTCGCAGCCCTACCTGCCGCTGCCCGAAGCGGCGGCCGACCCGGCGCGGGCCGACGCGCTCACGGTCTACCTGGTCATCGCGCTGGCGTCGGTGTCGTCGCTCTTCCTGTTCTCGGTGCTGGCGTTCATCGCGGTGCGGCTGTGCAGGAGGGGCAGGGCCGCCTCGCTGGGTGGCTGCTCGGTGCCCGAGGGCCACTTTCCGGGCCACCTGGTGGACATCGGCGGCACCGGGACCCTTTCCCAGAGCTACCAGTATGAGGTGTGTCTGTCCGGAGATCCTGGGACTGGTGAGTTTAAATTCTTGAAGCCAATATTCCCCAACCTCTTGGTTGAAGACACAGAGAGAAATTAAAGAAAATCCCAAATGCAGGAGTAACTTTGTATTCAGTTAAGTATTGTATTTGTTTAAGTGACTGTCTCCTTAATTTTTGGGAAAACTAACTCCCATTGGATGCATGTTAAGAAATTGTGTTATCTAAATATGTGTCTCTATTCCAAACCAATGTATATCCCTGATCATGCTAAATTCCTTCCTTTTATTAACATTGATTGGACTTTGCCTTTTTAATTACACTGAATGGATACTGAATATGCATTTTTTCCTTGTTAGACCTTCTCTTAGTGATTAATCTTTCCATAATTATAAATTACTCAATTAGTACAAGGAATTTTGTTTAAATCAATTTCTTAATATCTTTTTAATGAAATATTTTAGAGCTTTTATGTAATTTTGCGTTTTTATATATTTGTGGTTTTTGTCTTTATCATATAGCTTTACCTTTGCAAGACCAGAGTGTTTGAAATGCTTTACAGCTATCTAGGCCTTTCTTTTTTACTATTCTATAATACCAGGCTATGCCCCCTGAATAACCATAAGCATATAACTTAGCATACTTGTTTGTCTCAAATTGTACATAAACATGCACCTCATTAAAATACTAATACACTAAAACTGTGACTTCCCATTGTGAGCATCATATATGCTAGAGATTTTCTTATTTATTTGGTTGCTAGTTACCTAACACATTGTAAGTGCTCCATAAATACTAATGTTAAAATTAAAATAATTATTCTCATTTGTAAATAATAATTAAAGAGAAAATCTTATATAATTTGGCATCACTTTCACTAAATAAAACTAAGTCACTGCTTAGTAAAATCCTTTATAAAATAATCTCAGAACCTTAAATATTGGGTTGTCGAAAAAGCCATGATGTATTTTTTTCTATGTTTTTCATTGCAAAAATGCATCATGACTTTTCTGACAACCCAATAAATCCTAAATCTTTTCAGAGGATTCAAGGTGTAGAGAGCAGAGAGCATCATATACTTCCTTGTCCTTCCTTTTGTCTTATAAAAAGAAGTTCAAGTGTAGTTTAATGTATGTATCCCTTGGTTTTCCTGCAGCTTTTCCCTACTGTTCAAAAGAGTCAGATAATTTCTTCTGAGTTTCAGTTATTCTGTTCAAGACTGATTATCAAGTGATATCAGATTTTCACTTTAAGTTACTTTGCAGACATGGACAGCATTTATCAACAAAATAATGATTAATTTTTGATGTCCAATTTATCTTCTGTTTTGTTCTTCAACGTAGCTTTCGTATATTTTGTGTAAATTTATTTTATCAATTATACTGAACTTTTATTTGTAAGAAATAAGGATTATTTTGTCCTTTAGGACAATAAGAATAGAAATTAAATAAGATAAGAAATGAGCTTATCTAAATTATAATTGTTTTATGTTGTGTTCATAAGCCAAGTAAGTTGATCATGTGATTTCCAACTAACTTTATATTACTATGACTATAAGACCACTTAGTTAAACTTTTGGCACAATGTGAGCAATTAAAGAACTTGCTTTATAATTTAAATATTTATTTTGAAATCTTGTGTCAT